TTTGCACGTTTCATGTTCTGCACGTTTTATTGGAGATGACGAAACCCAACAACGTTTTCGTCTTCTTTGAGTACTTTGATTGCACGGAGAACATCGTGAGGATTTGAATTTGTATAGTGACATGGAAAATCAAACCAGTTTCCAGACCTTTTGCGTTAGTTGTCGTCGACGAAGTGCACGAAGGAATCGTAAGAAGATCGTAGAATTCATTTTGTGACTTCGGAAGAAGGAACTTTGTTTGACATTGATCGGAGAAGTTTAGTTTTCTTTGTCTCTCAATGATGATAGCGAGAGCAACATTCTGAAAGGCATTCAGAACTGGAGTTGCTAACAGATCTGAGGGAGACATCATGAATCATGTTTTGGTGCTTGAAATGTTTCAACGTTTTTCAAACACTCAAACTTATTTAAACAAACAAACCATGTCTTGATGTAAAGACTTTTTGTGAGGACATGTGTTTTTGATCGCTTTTGTGAAAGTTAGCAGAAAGATGCTGACTGGCGACTCCGCATCATTTTGTGTCAAGGCGTGACACACCAACAAGAACCATAGCGACATGAGCAAGACACCTTGTTGCTTGTGTGTTTGGTAAAAGTGGCTGAGCTCTGGGAGTGTTTGACTTGGTTGCGTGGACGGTCTTAGTGAGTTAAGGACGACGTCCTGGACGCTGACCCAAGTAGGTTTCGAAGGTTGAGGTGACCTTCCGCATGGTAGCGGAGCTGCCTGCTTGCTGCGCGTAAGTAGGAATGGATTCAGGTAGTGCGAGCCAAGGTGTGCAAGGTTGTCCTAGTCCTGGTATGGCTGAAAGAGGTGAAGGAAGTGGTGGTTGTAACCGTGGAGACGGATTGCCACCTGGCACCGGAAATGGTGGTGACGGATTGCCGCCAGTGCCTAGAACGCCTAGTCAGCAAGGTAGTGGATCTGGGATGGATGGACAAACACCTGAAGCAAGTAACATGCCCCAGCAGCAGCCACAGCAACAACAAGCAAATGTGTCACAGAACGTGCAGGGATTTGCGAGCACGACAAACCTGGATGCAGGTGGTCAAGGAGGTCCGGTGCAGGGATGTCAACAAGGAAATGTCCCCGGAATGCAAGGACAGGGACCAGCATGGTTTGGTGCGCAATGGATTCCCCAAACAACAAACGTTTATGCAACAGAATTCGCAAGCGCGTGTGCCAAGTTATGGTTGTGCGAGTATGCCTGGTGGACCAAGGTCTGGAGATTTTCCAAACTTAGGAGTGAACCCAATGAGTTGCCAAGGAAACATGCCGAGTGGCCCGGTTGGAGCGAGCTTGGGAGGTTTGACGCCTCAGGCGGCGCAGATCCAAGAGGTCATGGCCATGTTAGGTAGCATGAGTGAGGGACAGCTACAGACAGTGCAGCAGCATATGCAAGATCGTTTTGTAACTATGCAACAGAGAAGAGGGGTTCCAGAAGTGTTTGGTGATGGTCTTGGTAGGGCAGCTGATTCGTCGTTTGTGACTCCGCAGCCATTTGATGTTTTGCCTGGTTTTGGTGTTCAACAATCAAATCATGGAAATTCACAGCAATTGGATGTCTTCGCCAAAAGCGAAAAATGGTTGACACCGGCACCAACACCAGTAGGAACTTGGAAGACAAGAGAAGAAGAGGTGTTAGGTTGGGCTGGCTATTTGGATGAGTTGTCATCCTGGGCAGCTGGTGGAAGCTTAGAATTTTCTGTAGAAATCCAGCACAGTAGCCGTTGGCCCGGTCCCATCAGATGGAGTGCCCTCAGTGGAGCACAACAGGCAAGGTCTCGAAGGCTTATGTCCATCTTAAAAGCTGCGTTTCACGACAACCCCAGGTGTGTGGCGTTGGTGAACGCCTTCAGTGAGGGTGTGGCATTACATGGAATAGGATCTAGTGACAGAGTGGCAGTGGCAGTAAACCAACAAGCAAACGGGTTTGAACTGCTTAGGCAACTTACTCTTGAATTTTCGCTGAGGTCAAGATCCGAAGCGCTCTCACTAAGGACGCAAATTGCAGGGAGATCCTTTGTCCTGGCGGCGACCCAGACATCGCCGAGTTCCTTGGTTAGTGATACTATCAGAAGAATTGATTATGAAGCAGCAAGGTTCTCAAGGTTGCTAGGAACTCTCCCTATGCAGGTGGACACTACAGGACTGAAGCTGGCAGACTCAGACATGCTAGTTGTTCTGTTGAAAAGCCTGCCTGAAACAGTGAAGAACTATGTTCTCCACCACAGCGGCGCAGACAATTATGAATCCTACAGGAACGCTGCGATGCGGTGGGAAGAGCAACAACGCCTGTTCAGCGATTTTGAGACAACAGGCAACAGCAAAAGATTGAGCTCTATGGAGGGGAATGTGGAACACCATTCCCTTGACTCCGAACTCGTCGATGCGGTAGAAGGCAGATGCGGGAAGTGTGGAAGTCGGAAACACACTGCGGCAGCTTGCACCGCAGACGTTAGCAGGATCCGGTGCTTTAGATGCGGTAAGACCGGACACGTCAGCTTCAATTGCCCTGAGAACAGAGAAGGTAAGGGAATTGTAAGACCTGACACTTGGGACAAGAAAGGTTCCAAAGGAAAAGGCTCTAAAGGTAGCAAAGGAAAAGGAAAGAAAGGCAAGTTGAATGAAGTTTCAGAGGATTGGACCGACTGGACTGCAGAGAGTTGGGACGATGATGACTATTGGTGGCATGACCAATGGCCGGAGAGCTGTGATGGTCAATGGGGAGTTTCGCAGACATGGTGGGACGATGGTTCTGGATGGTATTGCGACGGGTATGGGTATACCTGGCAACAGGGACCAGTCCAAAGTGCGGAACCGGCAGTGTCGGCAGCATGATCATAAATCCTTTGCTGTTTGACATGACATGTGAAACCACTGGAGGTCTTAGGTTTGTGCATGAGCATGAGTTTGCGGTTGATTGCAAAGACTTTGAAAGTGAATTGGCTGACACGGGTTGTGTGCTGGCAAGGAGTTGCGACAGCTGTACTCGTGAGTCAAAAGAAGATGAACTGGCTGACATGGGTTGTGTGCTGGCAAGGAGTTGCGACAGCTGTACTCATGAGTCAGAAGAGAAAGATGAGCTGACTGACACGGGTTGTGTGCTGGCAAGAGGTTGCGACAGCTGTACTCGTGAGTCAGAAGTAGTGAGAAGTGAACCGGCTGACATGGGTTGTGTGCTGGCAAAGAGTTGCGACAGCTGTACTCATGAGCCATGGTTTTGTGGTTTGAAGTTTGGAGATGAGGTTGGACTTGGCGACAGTTCCAACTTGGAGACACGTTTTGTTAATGACCCCAGCCGAGACTTGTGTACCACTGTACCGATGAAAGTCGTTTTGGTGCGTGCACATGACTGGTTTGACGACCACAGTGAGGTTTCGGTTGAACAACAGATTGAACCTTATTTGAAGTTTTTGCGACCTCTGCTTTCACAGGTCGCTGACAACACCGATGCTTCTTGGTGGCTTCTTGACTCTGGTGCATCCACAAGTGTTTTGGCTGAGTCGAACTTGTCAGCCTTCAGGTCAGTGCTGCAGGACAGTGAGGGGTTAGGTGGCTACAAAGCTGCCAATGGATCCTCAGTCAACATGTCAGGCACTGCTGAGATTGGAGTACAGATGCACATGTCAGGCACATCAGGTGATGATTGGTGTTGGAAGAAAGCACGTTTGAATGTTTTGGTGGGTTCCATCCGGCACAACATTTTGTCAATCACTTCATTGGCAGATTCGGGATGGAGATTCACACAAGGTCCAAAAGGTTTTGATTTGTTTCATGAAAAGCTTGGAATGCATTGTCTTGACGTTGCTTATTTTGCCAATTGTCCTTGGGTTCGTTTGTATCCAGATGTTGGTAGTAGTAGTGCATACAGGTCTGACTTGACTGTGAGTAACACTCATGACTTTTCTGTCGCAGCTGTGTCTGGAGGAGACGACAGTGAACTGGCACGTCACCGGAGACAGGGACATATTCCATTCAATCCGAATTGCTTGGAGTGTGCCAAGGGTCGTTCCGTCTTTCAGCACAGAAGAGACAAAGGTGACAGGAAAGAGGTTTCGATTCAGGCCGATTTTGCATTCCTCAAGACATCAGGCGAGATCGCCGCAGACGAACTCCCAGGTTCGGTGAAGATCCTTGTGTTAACCGAGATGATGTCGAGGTGCATTGGCTATGTGGTGGTTGGAGAAGATGTCGAAGCAGCCAGGAGACAGATTGTTGTATGGCTTCAACATTTTGGGTTGACTTCGAAGGCAGTCTCCATTGATGTCCACACCGATAGCGAGAGGGCCGTGGGAGAGATCATTGGAAATTCCACTGGTCGATACACGTTCGCTATTCGGAGAGCCGCGCCACAACAACATCGATCAATTGGGTCGGCTGAGCGAGCAGTTAGGGAATTAAAAGAATCCTTTTCTGTGTTAAGGGCTGATCTGAATGCACAAGGGTTGGATGTCATGTTTTCACATGAGAATTTGGTTGACGTTTTGACGTATTTGGCTTTGTGCAACAACCATTTTTCGACATCACGAGGTTCAGACAGAAGTCCACTGGAAATGGTTTCAGGAAGGAAGTTATCCAAACCAGTTTCGACTTTGTTTGGTGCTCAGGTTCTGGCCGAAATTCCTGATTCAATTCGGCAGCATTCACCACTTTCAACAAGGAATGTTATTACTCTTTGGAACAAAGATCATAACCTTATTTGGCCGTTGTGAGAAAAGACTTTTGTTGTGCAAAAGTCTTAGCGGGTTTATGGTGAATACGTTGTGAACCAAATCCAAATACCTTGGAGTGACAATGCATTTCCTCTTGGTTTTCCCTTATTTTGGTTTCCTCCCTCTTCTCTCAAACTGAAACGGAAAAACAACACGGAAACGAAAACAACACGTGTGAATCTTGTTGGAAGATGTGGCACATGTCAGTTTGTTTTTCGTGAAGTTTTGTCTCAGATCAGCATGGGTTTTCATTTAGCAGGGGGGTAGCAATGGTCCTGTTTGGATAGATGCTCGAACCTGGAAGACTGTTTGGTGGGGATGTTGACTCTGCACCTAGTGCAAGCGAGCCTGCATCTGATGCTGAGTGTGGAGACAACAGGTGGCCCGAGTTGTTGGTAGGAGCCAATGCTGGATCAGTGGATCATGCGGCGTTTGATGCTGAAAGAGATGTTTCATATTCACCTAGCATGGATGACGCTGTGCTTACTGGTGGCCTGGCTAAGGGTTATGATTCTGGAAAGGCCGTGGATCGATCATGGCAGCAGTTGGACGCAAAACCTTTACAACAATTTTGGGAACAAGGTTTTTGGGGTGAGATTTTTGGGAACAGTGCATCAGCTTCGGTGTCGTCACTAACCACTACGTTGGGCCTACACAGACCTGCAGTGGTGCAGGGCACTTCAGGTGAGGACGTTCCTATGACAACTGATGATGCCATAGCCTCCCAGTACAAGCGGCTCAAACATGCTACATACATGGATGTGGTGTCGAAGTGTTCAATCAAGTCGTGGCAGGAGCAGCGTGATAGTACTTGGGAGACGGCAATCCGCAGGTGGCACAGCAGTATCATGTCATGGTCTGGAGATGATGCCATCATCGGTTTGATTCAGGGCAAATCTGAATTCAAAGCTCAATGTCAGATTGTGGTTGACATACTCTACAACAAGGCTCCCAGTACCCTTCTGAAGCGGTGCAACAGCCTGGGAAGGTTGGTGAACGACCTCCACAAGCAGGGGTGCAATTTTCCCTGCACTGAAGATGAGCTGTATGGTCACTTGACCCGGCAGAGGGAAGCGGGCGCACCACCATCTAGGTTGAAGTCACTCCTGGAGGCCATCACTTTTGTGCGCCATATTTTTGGGGTGACCGCACTGGAGAACTGTATCAAAAGCAGGCGATGCCTGGGGGTTGCCACTCCCAAGGAACTTGAGATCACAAAGCAAGCGCCACCGCTTAGGGTGGAGCATTTGAGAGCTCTGCATCACGTCATGGAGAATGAGGAGGATCCCTGGAATGTAGCATTCACAGGCATGGTGCTTTTCTGTGTTTACGGCAGAGCTCGTTGGGGAGATGCCCAGCATTCAACTCGTGTGGAGTGGGACATGGACTCAGAGGGTAATTTGTGTTTTGTTGAGTGTGCAACAGCTGTTCATAAGACATGTCGTGCACTCAACATGAAGCATTCTTTTCTGCCGTTGACTGCTCCTGGTTTGGGCATCAGTGCAAACAACTGGGCGACTTCATGGAGGCGTGCTAGGCTGGAGTTAGGCATTGAAAACTTGAGTGAGTATCCATTGATGCCTGCACCTGATGAGTTAGGGCATCCTACAATCAGGCCGCTCAGTTCCAATGAGGCTTGTGGATGGTTGACGCTGTTGCTCAGGCAGAAGGTCGATGTGTTGGGGGTGTCGGAACCTTTGCATTACACTTCACACTCATTTAAGGCCACCACACTGTCATACCTGGCTAAGTATGGTTGCAGTTTCGAGGACCGTCTGGCACTTGGATATCATGTTGATCAGTTGCGCATGGCTTTGCGGTACAGCAGGGATGGTGCTTCAAGACCGTTGCGGGTTTTGGAAACATGTTTAGCTGACATACGGAGTGGCAGATTCTTGCCAGACGAGACCCGGTCTGGCCGCTTTGTGGGGGGCTTGGAGACGACACACACATTGACAAGTCTGGCAGCCGGCATGTTGAGTCAGAAGTGAAACAAGAAACAGTCCTGCCTGTTGCAGGTGTTTTTTCAGCAGGGGAGGTTGTGGAAGTTTTTTCTGACCATGCTACAACTTGCAGTGATAGCAGCAGTGGTGATGATGCGGTGGTGTTGCCAAAAAACCCTCATAGAAGTTTAGTAGTTCCTCCTGGAGCGACGGTATGGAAACACACCAAACTGAAGACAGTGCACCTGGCGCAGGAGGGCTACTTCCGGGTTCTTGCATGCGGCAGGAAGATCACCGAGAAGTATCAGCAGGGCGGAGTGGATGTTAGGTTTGACATTATAAAATGCAAACAGTGCTTCAGCAGTCCGCTTCTTCAATCTTAGGTCAGTGATGTTTCAATGCCGTAGGGTCCAAAACTGTGAAACAGGTTTCTTGGATGTCCGTTGCATTTCATTTCATGATGTGGCAGTTTCAAGATCAGCTTTGAAACGATAGGCTGGTAGTTGTTTCACTTTCGAAATTCACAGGGGACATTTAAATCAGGGTCGGACTGTGCAACTCAGTGAACCGATCAACTTGGTCATCTTGCAGTTTGCTGTTGGTCGCATGGGGCTTAGAACAGTGGCTGTTTTCAAAACTTTTCATTTCAGTGTGAATTGCTTGGATTGCATGATGGTTGCATAGACTGAAAAAAGGGTCTCATGCAAGTGCGGACCTACAACTTAGTTGTGGTAGGGCACCGATAGTCCACTGCGAAATTGGAGCAGAGGCGCTGGACAGGAAAATGTTAGGCAGCCTTTGTGATCAGTTTGTGAGGGTTCAACATGTTGACATTGATGTCATGTGGGACAGTTGTGCAACATCGCAGTGAGTCCAGTGAAGGGTCAGGCACATGGGAGGATTGGCACAATGGACCCATGGTGCATCCCTGGCATAGGGCTCTTAAAGGCGAGCGCGACTAGGTCATTGGCACTCAGGCACATGTTGAATGTTTGAACAAACTTGTCCTTAAACAGCAGGGAGGGTTGCATTATTCCGTTTATTTTTCCTGTCATACCGTTTCAGCACTTTAATTTTAAGCCCGACACTCAGACATCGCAGGCGTCATGCATGGCAACTGACAAAACTGTCAAGATGAAAAAAGGATGTTTGTGGTGTCAAACCGTTCGACTTAATTGCATGCAAGGTGGCAATTGCTTGTTTTAGGGATTTCCGGTAGACGCGTTTGAACATGGCACTGGTGGATTCACAAGCGGCCTTTGGATTGCATTGTGACAAGATTGACAGTACAGGATGGTTGCGACGTACAATGGGCAGGAATAACCTCAGGACTTTTTCAGATCTGGGGTTCGCAGTTGGAACGCCACAGTCGCCTGCTGCTCAGACTGAGTTTGATCAGTTTTGTGTTACAATCAATGGAGGCACTGACATGACAATTTCAGAGGCTGCTAGGGTACGCAGGCTTCATTTTGAAGCTTGCACACTTATCATAGCTCACACCAAGCAACAGGTGTCATTGGATGCTACAGTTGAAGGCAGTCGCAAGTTGCCCGTGGCTGAAAAACAGTCAAGGTTGATTCAGCAGCAAGGCCGTTTGGCGGGAATAAGTATTACTGGTGGGTTGCAGCCAAGTTATGCTTTGGTGGATTTGGCGGCATCTATGTTAGAGAGCAACGCTGTCATATGGATCCCTCCATCTAAGTGCTCAAAGCGTGAGACAGAGATTCAGTTATCAGCAACAAAGGAGAAGTCACCGGTGATTGCAGTAGAACAACATACACTCAAAATAACGGCTGCTGAGGAGACCATCAAGGTTGACCATAGCACTGAGCTACAGTTGCAGTGGGCGTTGCAAAGACGGGGCATAGCCCTGGATCAATGTGGGCTGATTGACTGGGAAGTGCATCAGCGTTGGTTGCAATACCTTTTGAGTCTTCTGACAAAAGCGGTGCCAGATGGATATAGCCGCATCAGGACAGACCAATTGCTGAAAGCAGATCGTGAATTGTTTTTGGTGATGGCGCAGGACTTGCAGCAGACTGGGGAGAGGCTAAGTGAGACTCCTTCTCCTATGAATGTGGCTATGCCACGGCTCATGACCGACCCCCGCATCACGATGCACCTATTGCCTTTGCCCAGCCATGCGTCCAGATCTTCCACCACACCAGCTCCCACAGCGCCTGCTCGTCGTGAGACAAGTCAGGCCCCAAAGGGTAGAGGCAAAGTTAGACGAGACGGAAAACCGTCAGCCAAAGCGAAGGCCTTGTGTCCGGCAGAGTTGAAGGATTACAAGCAGGTGGATGATCAAGGGCGACCAATATGTTGGTCATACAATTTGAAAGGAGGGTGCAAAGAGCCAGTTACGGATGGCCGTTGCAAGAAGGGTGCACATATTTGCATCAAGTGCAAGAGATCCAATCATGGCTTGGCCACTTGCCGGGCGACCTCCTGAAAAACGGTTTCACAGAAGCAGTACAGCGTGTCACTTTCAAATGGTTTTTCTTTGGATGATGGTTCAGTGGAAGGCCAGTTGCACAGGCCGCATACCGAAGGTATCATGGCAAACGATTTTAATTTGCACCAGGCCAAGAAAAAACTCAAGGCCTTGCAGGCACAACATGCAGCAGATGATAACCTCCCAGCGTCACCAGAGGTGCACTTGGAGGCACAAGAGCAGTCAAACAAATTTGCAGGGAAATCGTTGTCCAACATACTCATGGTTGAGTTGTATGCAGGTTCGGCACGGCTGTCGAAGGCATGTCAGCAGATTGGTGTGCGTAGCGTTGCAGTAGACAAGACAACACAACGGTCGCAAGGAAGTAAGATTTTTGTTTGTGACGTTACAAATGAAGGGGATTTGAATATGCTGAAATCCTTTTTGAGCGCTGAGCAGGACAATCTGGCGTGGTTACATATAGCACCAGCATGTGGTACAGCATCACGTGCTAGAGAGAAACCCAACAGAACGCTGGAGAAAGCAGGGTACAAGGTGCCAAAGCCTTGCAGATCTGAACAGTTTCCTTTAGGCATACCTGGCTTGGAGGGTCTTGACAAGGCGCGCACAGAGGTGGCAAACCTTATTTACAAGATCACTGCAGAGTTGGTCCGCGAAGTTTCAGCTTGGGGTGTGGTTTGTACGATTGAGAATCCGACAAACAGCCTTTTCTGGAAGGTTCCCTATATTGTTGATTTGGTGGAAGACCTCGGTGGGTATGATGTTATTTTTGACAGCTGTTGTCATGGAGGTGCAAGGAAGAAAAGTACAAAATTCTGGTGCACTGATGTCTGGTTCAATAGCTTGGCAGCGGCATGCCCAGGCAATGGACAGCATTTTCATAAGTCATGGACACCTACAGTAGTGGATGGCAGAGTTCAGTACCCTACGGCTGAGGAGGCGGCCTATCCTGAACTCTTGTGCCAACGCTTAGCCGAGAGCTTTAGGGATGCCTTGTTGCGTTTGGGTGCAATTGACGTTGAAACCATGGAGCAACAACAACAGGTTGAACAACCATCAATGCACAGGATCCTCATGGACGCTTTGCCGCGGGGAAAGAAGTACAAACCCTTGGTGTCGGAATATGGCAGTTATACAACAGTGGTTCACTCAGATAGCGTGGACGAAAATGCTTTCCAGCTGCCAATGGGTGCTAAATTGGTACATCAACGTTTGTCCAAGCGGGGTGATATTCGGGTTGATGATGTGGTCTGGCACTCGTCTGTGCAACATTTGGATGCGGATGTTATTGTCAAGGTGTCACAGTTTGGCATTCCCAGGACTCCTGAAGATTTTTGCAGAAGGGCTGTCAAATGTGGACATCCGAGGGGCATGTCGATGCACTTGCCTGAAGTGGTAACTGATGTGCTCAGGGAGAATTTGGAGATGGAGCCGGCGGAACTTGCACTTATACGGTGCAGACAGCTTGCAAGGTGGACAGTCAGGGCGGGACAGTTAAAACTTGCGGAGAAGGAATTCAAACAGTCCTTGCCTGAGCACTTGCAGGTGTTGTTAAAGGACAAGAAGCTATTGTTGCTGCAGGAGATGTTGGAGGAGTTACAATATCCTGATAAGACTTTGGTGCAGGACATAGCGTCTGGTTTCAGGCTGATGGGGTGGCAGCAAAAAACGGGTGTTTTTCCACAGTGTGTGAAACGGCCTCAGTTTTCTGTTGAGACTCTCCGGAAGTTGTCCCGGGGTTTGAACAGGTCGATAGTGAGTCAACTATCTGGTGAAAATGATGATGATCCAACGGTACGGCAGACATTGGAGGAGGTTGCATTGGGTTATATCTGGCCTGATGAGTCCGGGAATTTGGATCGCGTTTTTCTGGCAAAGCGTTTTGGTTTACAACAGAAGGCCGGAAAACTGAGAGTCATTGATGACTGTTCTATAGGAGGCATCAATGGGGCCTTGGGTGTGGTTGAGAAATACAAGGTTCACGCCATAGATGAGACTGCAGCGTTTCTGACATGGATGGTACAACAGTTGCAGGGCAAGCCGCACTTTGAAGGGTTATCTGTCAGGACGTATGACATGAAGCATGCGTACAAGCAATTTGGTATTGCAGTGGACGACCGTGAACTTGTACGGTTGGCGGTGAGAAATCCTATCGACCACAAGGTCCGCCTGTTTGGAGTTAATAGTTTGCCTTTTGGGGCATCTGGATCGGTGGGGGGTTTTTTGAGAATCAGCCTCGCCGTTTGGTATGTGGGCCTATTTATTTTTCGGCTGCCATGGACAGCATACTTTGATGATTACACAATTTTTAGCCGAGACTTGTTGGTGAGCAACGCGTCGAAGACAGTGGACAATTTGTTTGACTTGCTTGGTATAGAAGTAGCCCGTGAAGGGAGCAAAGCTTCGGGTTTTTCGAAGCAGTTTAAGAGTTTGGGGGTCGAAATAGACCTGAGAGATTTTTGTAAGGGCGAAGCTCGATTGGGACACACCCGTGAGAGACGTGAAGAGATTGGTGCCGTGCTGGATGATATACTCCATTCCTCGAGTGTTACTACAAAACAGGCAGAATCACTTAGGGGCAGACTGCACTGGTTTGAGTCTTTTGCCTTTGGTCGTGTGGCCAATGGGGCGGTGAAGACTTTGGGTGACTTGTCTTTGCGAAGGACAAAGAAGGTACAACTCAGAGATCATGAAGTCAGGGATCTTCTTTTTCTTAAGGAAAGAGTTTTGCAGGCGCCTCCTTTGAAGTTGACCCCCACATCCTTGCTCGCTTGGATAGTGTTCACAGATGGAGCCTGTGAAGGACCCGAAGGAGCTAAGAAAGGCAGTGTGGGGGGCGTGCTTGTTAGCCCTCATGGCAGTGTGCTGCAGTTCTTTGGTGGGGAGATCCCATGTGACTTTATGGCCCAGCTCTTGCTCCGGTCTAGGAATCCAATATATGAGTTGGAGGTCATGCCGGTTCTCATAGCTGCTTTGCTGTGGGGCAATACCTGTGAATTTGCGCAGGTTTGCTGGTACTTAGACAATGAGGCTGGAAGATCGGCCTTTGTGAAGGCCTATGGGGCAACAGAAATAGCCGATGTGATGGTGAGAAACTTCACCTATCACGAGATGGAACTTCAGATCAAATCTTGGTTCGCAAGGGTGCCAAGCGCATCAAATTTAGCTGATGCCCCGTCGCGTCTTGAAGACTCATACTTGAGAGATCAAGGGGCGTGCAAAGTGGCCATTGACTGGATGGCAATCAGGGAGACGTTGGCAGCTGTTTTCCAGAAATTGGGGGAAGGCACGGCAGCAGACCTAGACGTCTCCCCATTGCCGAGAAAAAAGTGTGGCTGCTTTGTCCATTGATCTGAAGAAGCCATCTCAGTTTTGCAGTGCGGTTGTTTTGAACTTTTTTGGAGAGCAGTTAATTTTTTGAAGAGAGAAGTTGTGGATGAAAAGAATTGAAGAAAGGAAATGTTTGAGGAAATGTTTTGTAGCGAAAGGGTTCACGCGAACGTATGATATTAGCGGTCGTATAAATATATGACTGTTGATATATAACCCGCGGTTCTCACATTAGGACTAAATAAGTTATTACTCTTTGGAACAAAGATCATAACCTTATTTGGCCGTTGTGAGAAAAGACTTTTGTTGTGCAAAAGTCTTAGCGGGTTTATGGTGAATACGTTGTGAACCAAATCCAAATACCTTGGAGTGACAATGCATTTCCTCTTGGTTTTCCCTTATTTTGGTTTCCTCCCTCTTCTCTCAAACTGAAACGGGAAAACAACACGGAAACGAAAACAACACGTGTGAATCTTGTTGGAAGATGTGGCACATGTCAGTTTGTTTTTCGTGAAGTTTTGTCTCAGATCAGCATGTGTTTTCATTTACCCACCCACCGCCCAATGCAGTTTCATGTCAATTTGGATGACTGAAATGACTGAATTTCCACCTGATGGTGTTGCTGATTGTGGCACGCGTGTTCAGGGTACTTTACAGGTCTGTCAACTTCCATTTGATCCTGACAGAGCCCGCACTTTCGTGACAGTGCCTTTGCTGATATCCGTTTTTCATATCTGCCGATACCAATGGTCCGAACGTGGCGTTTTTGTGTACCTCACCTTTCAAGAGCAGACACAAGTGGCATTGGTGAATTGGTCAGCGTGGAATGAGACTTCAGAACGCAGATCCGATGATCTTTTCAATCTGTCTCCGGCAGCGCGAAATCACGCTGGGATGGTACATTATCAAATAGCCTAGCCCACCGTTCAGGCACGGCAGCAGACCTAGACGTCTCCCCATTGCCGAGAAAAAAGTGTGGCTGCTTTGTCCATTGATCTGAAGAAGCCATCTCAGTTTTGCAGTGCGGTTGTTTTGAACTTTTTTGGAGAGCAGTTAATTTTTTGAAGAGAGAAGTTGTGGATTGTGGATGAAAAGAATTGAAGAAAGGAAATGTTTGAGGAAATGTTTTGTAGCGAAAGGGTTCACGCGAACGTATGATATTAGCGGTCGTATAAATATATGACTGTTGATATATAACCCGCGGTTCTCACATTAGGACTAAATAAGTTGAGTGTACTTTCATTCACATGGGATTGGAACGAGGTCCAGTTGTGCAGGGTCTCATTCGTGTGGATGGCAAAGCTGAGTTGATGCGTTTTGTAGCTAGGAACATCAGGGCTATTTCACCTTTGAGATGGGATTTGAATTCGGCACAGGGAGTTTTGACGCACTTTGTCTCTGGGACTGTAGGTAATAGACCCCAAATTGTGAATGACAGTGGGACTGCACCAGCTGATATGAGTCAGCTACCTCCTGAAGAGTTGCGAAAGTTGAAAGGTCAGAGTTTGCCGGCACCTTCACAGCCCAAACTTGTCTTGCCAGAGTCCAGCAGTCTGAGGAAGAAATCTGGTGAGTTGCGTTTGGCGCCAGCAGTCCCGTTAGCAAGATCGAATGTTGTCGTGACTCCACAGGAAGTTCCAGCAGAGCCGTCTCGAGTTTCAGTCACTCCATCTCCTACGTCACCAGCAGATACTGCAGATGTAGCTATTGGTAGTCCTGAGAGATCTGACAGAACTTCACCTGACGTATCACGTTTTGAACCGACTCGTCGATGTCCAGCATGTGAGAGTGGCATGGAAGCACCTGGTATTAGGCACAACAAGGAATGTAGAAAGCGTTTTGCTGAGTTTGAGGAACAACGGAGAAAGGAAAGACGTGTTGAACCTGCACTCTCTCAGGAGAGCCCTGTAGTTGTACCCCAGGTTCAGGTGCCAGTAGAAGAGGTCGATGATGAAGAATTGGTACCAACACCTGAGTCCGCTCGGCGACAGCCGGAAACACAGGTTGAGTACACTAGAAGGTTTAAAAGGAAAGCTGAGACCGACCGAGAACAGTTGGAAAGAGAGATCCGTGAAGATTCAGAAGAGTTGCTTCAAACAAACATGGATTTTGATTGGTTTTGGGTTGGTAGTGGTGAGCCTGTGTTGGTTGCGAGTTTGGGTACACTTGAAGGTCCAGCGTCTTTTGCTCCGGCAACATCTCCAGAAATGTTTTCTGGTTCTCTTGATTCTGTTTGTTTCAATCGAGGCAATGAGCATGATTTTGTGAAGATGCGTCTTGGAGGTCAAGATGTCTTAGTTTGGAAACCGGACAGTATCATAGATGACCAGAGTCTGCAAGAGCTTGATTTGGAACAAGGTTTCAAAGGTATGCAGGAAGAGGTTAGGAACTTGGAACACTGCAAGACTGGCCGCATCATCACCCAGTCAGAACTGGACGACATGAAGAAGGCTGTTCCGAACCTTCGTTTGATCCAGTCGAGGTGGGTTGCAGCTTACAAAAGCAGTGAGAGGGTTCGAACCAGGATTGTTGCAAAGGACTTCAATCGTGGCTCCTCAGCTAGATCTTTGGGATTTAGTAGTCCTACCCCTTCGATTGAAAGTGTTCGTTTGGTGCTTGCAATGGCAGCGACACGGAAGATGCTTTTGCGTGCATTGGACGTGAGTCATGCCTTCATGCATAGCCCATTGGGAACTGGTGTACATGTTGTCTTGAAAATGCCGTTGTCGATTAGCTTTCCATCAGGTGAAGCGACCTACTATTTGCTTGAAAAGGCATTGAACGGGTTACGTGATGCTTCACTGGCATGGTTGCAGCTTTTGACATTTACGGTTGAACATGTAGGCCTTTGGTCTGATTCGTTGGAACCATGTGTGTATGGTGGACAGATTGTGAAAGATGGTCATGAGATTGGATTTTGCTTGTGTGTGGTGTATGTTGATGACATTCTGTTGTTGTCGACCACTAAGGAAGCCGAAGAACATGTGGTTGCAACTTTGTCGTCTGTAGTGCCTGTGAAGACAACTGGAGAGATCGGAGAAGAGGGAGGATCCCTGACCTCCCTGACCTTTATTGGTCGTGTCATCAAAAGAGAAAGAGATTCCTCTGAGATCACTCTGGGTGTTGATCCACATTATCTTGACTCTACGTTTCTGGATTATGGTGTTACTCGTGGGTCTGAGAATGTTCCTGACATTTCGGGACATCTGCAAAAAACACTCACGGATAGCAACTTTCAGAAACCTTTGTCAGATGAAGCATACTCACGCTTCAGGAAGGCGTTGGGAAAATTGCTTTGGTTGTCACAGGTGCGTCATGACTTGAAGACATGGATGTCTGTTCTTGGGACACAGCAAGCAAAACCGATGCACGGGACTGAACAAGCATTGAAAGCAGTTTTGAGATTCTTGTATGTTGACATGCATGCATGCTTGTGTTTACCGAGCAGAGATGAGACCATCATGAGTCAAGTTGACGATACTCAACTGAGATCAGTCCATCTCCACTCTTTCAGCGACGCTTCACATGCGCCGTACCGTTTCAACAACCGCAAAGGTGTTAGCGGTGGAGCTGTTTTCTTTGAGAGGTCTTTGGTAAGGTCTCTGAGCCGACAGCAACAAGCTTTGAGTCTGAGTTCATGTGAGGCAGAGCTTTATGGTTTGCAATCAGTGTGTCAAGAAAGTGTTGCGTTTGGAAGACTGGTTCACCGTCTTCTTTTTGCACTTCATGAGATCGATGAGCCAGAAGAAGTTGTGATTTGGCTGGAGAGCGATTCAAGCTCCGCATTGCAACTTGTGAGGTCCATGGACGTGCCACGACGTTCACGACACATTGAAATAAGATTGCATTGGTTACGAGAGCAGATGAGAGAGGGTTTGTTGAAATTGAGACACAGAAGTGGTGTTGAAAATCCAGCAGATCTTTTCACTAAATGCTTGAGTGCTAAAGCTTTCTATAAACACCGATATGCTCTTGGGATTGTTGTTCCAGATGGTTTGACAGCTGAGTTAGCAGAACTTCGTGAGCTGTGTGTGTTGCAGCAGGTGTTGACTCAGGGTTCTTCAATTGCGATTGTGGAACTGTGTTGTTCGGAACATTCGAACTTGAGAAAGGTCTGTGAAGTTTCGAAGGTCCCATACATTGGTGTAGTTGCTAAGGTGCAGAGTTCTGGAACGTTGAGTCGTGTAGCTGTTTGCATCCGACAGTGGAAGAACTCTTCAAGTCCGCCTTGGGTGCATATTCATGCATCGACTCCTTGTGGAAGTGGAAGTCCGCTTCGCAATTTCAATCCGGACTCAGTCACTGAAAAGGACCAGGAATGGGATGAGATCATCAACGCGATTGGTGGTTACTTCAAACATGCAGACTCATGTTCGTTTGAGCTTCCAGAACGAAATACCATTTGGTCCCGACCTGAGACAGTGAATCTTTTGGAGAGTTTTGACATGAGGCATGAGGCTTTGGTGAGGTTGTGCAAAACTGGATGTCAGAACAAGGATGGTATTCCGATTGGAAAGACATTGAAGTTCGTTTCCAATTCAGCCTGGTTTGCACTAAATCTCCACTCCAAACTTTCTACATGCACATGCCAGACTCATGCAGAACTTTATCAAATCAACTACACTGAAACAGCGTTTTACAACCGAAAGTTGGCAAGATACATTTTGTTTGCAGTCAAACATGCTTCGAAGAAGAGTTGAATTTGCGTTTGAAAGGGGGCCCTATGACAGAGAGAGAGAGAGACAGAAGTTGGATCCATATTTCGTTTCATTTTTGTTTGCACGTTGTTTTCAAACAAACGTTGCCAAAGACAAACAGGAGTTTTCAACATGTTTCATTTTGTGCAGAGTTTTGTTTCGCGATACTGTGAGATGCAGTGTGTGTGCGCAGCGCAGAACAATCTGAAAGGTCACTGATCCTATCACGACTGTGATGGCGGTTCGACACTTCGTTTCACGCTCTAGGTTGATTGCTGCTAAGAGTTTAGCCACGGTCTAGTGCTTTTTCACTACCGGACGCGGTTTGATTTTGCAGCCATGGCATCATCCAATTGGAGCATTGAGGATGAGAAGATGTTTCAGCAGTTGGCACAGCGTCGTACTTCTCAGATGCCTTTGCCGACAACTGAATCAAGTGGTGCAATGACCGATGCATCAAAGCGCAGAATTGAAGATGCAGAGTTTGAGGTCGACACAGAGTCAGATTGGGTGGTTGGAAGTAGTTTCATGGAGCCCGTGGGAGGCACCGAAGATTTGGCCACAAAGGCCTTGCTTCCAGCTGGTATTACAAATATGGCTATGTGGGGAAAGACCAAGTTTGCATTTGGAAAGTATGAGAAAGAGAAGAAGAGTTACAAGATTGTCTTCGAGGAAGACCCCAGCTATGTTTCATGGCGTCGAAAGCATTTGACCAAAGACTCAGCGAAGGGTCCTGCCTGGGATTGGTCCAGGTACATTAAGGCCCGAGACTTGGTGGACTGCAAAGGGGCTAACGTGCCATTCTATGCAGGAACTACCTTGCGTCGACAGTTTTGTGATTGATGACACTGTGAGGATGGTTGGATCTATACAGGATCTCATTCTATGTGGACAACTGTAGTTTGCAGGATTGTCGAACTGGGTGAGTGATCACTATGTAGCCCTTAGCCGAAGGAGGGCATCCTTATGTATTGGCCTGTCAAGCTTGGGCGATATGTGCTGAAGTCTGGATGGGTTACAGCGTATACCTATGGAATGGAGTTCATCTCAAAAGGGGGTGTGAAAATTTGACATCTGTGGTGAGATGAATCCATTTGGTATTTTCTGCATTGGAAGAAGTGAATTTGGTTTTCATCTTGATGATGAGCTCAACCGTGATGGTTGACGTTGTATTTGCACGTTTCATGTTCTGCACGTTTTATTGGAGATGACGAGACCCAACAACGGCAATACTTTTCGTCTTCTTTGAGTACTTTGATTGCACGGAGAACATCGTGAGGATTTGAATTTGTATAGTGACATGGAAAATCAAACCATTTTCCATACCTTTTGCGTTAGTTGTCGTCGACGAAGTGCACGAAGGAATCGTGAGAAGATCGTAGAATTCATTTTGTGACTTCGGAAGAAGGAACTTTGTTTGACATTGATCGGAGAAGTTTAGTTTGTTTTGTCTCTCAATGATGATAGCGAGAGCAACATTCTGAAAGGCATTCAGAACTGGAGTTGCTAACAGATCTGAGGGAGACATCATGAATCATGTTTTGGTGCTTGAAATGTTTCAACGTTTTTCAAACACTCAAACTTATTTAAACAAACAAACCATGTCTTGATGTAAAGACTTTTTGTGAGGACATGTGTTTTTGATCGCTTTTGTGAAAGTTAGCAGAAAGATGCTGACTGGCGACTCCGCATCATTTTGTGTCAAGGCGTGACACACCAACAAGAACCATAGCGACATGAGCAGACATTTCTGTGCTTGTGTGTTTGGTAAAAGTGGCTGAGCTCTGGGAGTGTTTGACTTGGTTGCGTGGACGGTCTTAGTGAGTTAAGGACGACGTCCTGGACGCTGACCCAAGTAGGTTTCGAAGGTTGAGGTGACCTTCCGCAGGTCTTGACAGGGAGGGGTACTTGCCAGCTCAGCCTTGAGGTAACAACTTACCACGTACTAGGGGAACACCGTATGCTGTTGATGGCCACAATGGGCGTAAGGGTAGTCTATCAAACTTTAAGCACTAGATGTCATACATAGCAACTCACGTGCCAAAGTGAATAGTGTAGGCAAGATGAAACAGCAGGGGGTCCTAGGAGTCAGAAAATAACAATAAACGATGGGGGAGGATACAACCCCCTGGCCAGTCTGCGGCCAGACGGAAGATCCACTCTTATGGGGTGTTACCCAAGCCCGCACCAGAATTGATAAGCTGAAGTCACGGGGTATCCTTTCTGATTTAATTGGGATATCTTGTCATGAAGGCGTGACGAAGGCTTCCTTGAAGCATTGCTCTCTGATCCCAGCAACCATGCCTTGAGGGAAACGTGCTGATCAGCTCTCGGACCAGCAATCTGCCACTCCACATTCTCTGCTTTCTACGGCAGGGTGGACTGGAGGGATTAGCTGGACTTTTAACCAAATGCATTTGCGAGTAACAAAAGATGGATACCAGGATTTGCAAGATTTACGCTCCTCAGGTGGCCGGACGAAGATGATGATGGCTGGTTGGATCAAGGCATCAGCAGACTGAAAGATTATGCACTGTGTGCAAACAAAGATCGTGCGTACCTAAAATAGGGGCCCCAAAAAGTGGTCAAAACATGGCTGCGAAAAAATCAGCTCCATCTCCAATGGGCTGTGGTAACACCTTTTCCTTGGGAAAACCAGTGAGTCCACCAACTATGGTGAAGGATCAGATGGGGGTAAAGCCTGTTCTGCCTGCAGTGCTTCAAGACGTGGTGCTGGGAATTCCTGGGGCTATGTGTTGTCCATCCTCTCGACATGTCCCACCAGATGTCCCAAAAGGGGGAATTCCAACGCAATCCTGGCATTGCAATGGCGTTCAAGTGCCAACCAGTTGGCATAGATCCCTTCTTTCATATGCAAACGGCTCTCTATGCCTTTTGCCTTGAACATGCCTGGAGTTTGTGAAAGTGATCAGGGGTTTGAGAGGAAGCAGATGAAAAAGATTCAGAATGTCATCGCGCGTGTTCTTCAAGACACAGCACTTACCATGTTGCAAGGATGTAGTCTTGCCCTGTCAGGATTCAGGATATTGAGGAAAAGCCTGCATCTATGTCAGCGTCGACATCTACATCCTGGACTTCGTCTACATGGATTCTCCACCTGGTTCATCGTCATCTTCCTGGTGTTCGCCTACATGGTGGGAGATATGGTGCCTTCTGGACATCGTAGACAGGTGGTGGATCATCGTCAAGTTCGAGACGACCATTGGTGCTCGAAAGCGAAGACGAGGCGCAAGCGATTCATCTACACAAAATCTTGGCGGTGATGTTCATGATGGCAGCAAAAATGAGACATTTTGGATTGGAAGACGATGTGAGTATACACAGAGTCTATTACTATTTAAAACTGGCTGAGAACTTGGTATTGCGAGGAGAACGGCACGTAGCGTAAAGTTTCCTTGATGCAGCTGGCAGCGCTGGAGATTTTTCTTGGCCAAGGTGGCAAGGATGGAGGAACTTCTACGCCTTCCATTCGACGACGTGAATGGGTACGAGCAGTGGTTGTTCTTGCATTTCCATCTTCAATGTCTTGCTGAAGCCGAGAGAGACAATGAGAATTTCGGAGCAATCTTTGAGCACATGTATGAGCTGTATATGTTAGCTTTTTTTAAAGCCTCGTAAACAATGCTTTTAAAGCTCCAAGAGACGCGGTGAACGTAGGGGGTACGAGTGGCTAACGGACGTGGTGACGAACGTAAGGCGAACGAGTGAACGGACGAGTGCACGTGTGAGCGAACGAGTAAACGGACGTGTGCGTACAAGTGGACGGACGTGTGCGCGTACGTGCGTGCGTTTGCACGTTCACTGGCCGCGTGCGCGCGCACGTACGAAAATAAGGTCGACTGGAGTCGACCTTATTTCTGGACGTGCAAAGCGCTACAATGCTAAATCAATACTAAAGAGGCAGGGTCGTGCAAAAATAAGGTCGACTCAAGTCGACCTTATTTTCGTACGTGCGCGCGCGCGTGGCGAGTGACCGTGCCAACGCACGGACGTACGCTCACACGTTCGCTCGCACGTACGCTCACTCGTACATACATACGTTCGCACGTACGTTCACTCGCACGCATGTCGTTCACACACACGTTCATACCCCCGTTCATGTCACTCGTCACTACACGTACGCTAGATAACAAACATATTTTTACGAGACTTTAAAAAAAACTAATGTATATGCAACAACCTCAAGGACATGTAAGACCTCGAGGGCATCACATTCACCATGGAGGAGAAGGCGGAGAATCCGAGTATCCTACGGATGATGAGAGTGAGAATGATGATGAGACAGATGGTACGTGCGAAGGTTCTGGCCTGACCTGCGGTGGATGGCTGACATGTTTGTAAAGATGGTGACAGAAGCTTAAGGCAGCTACTGTCAAGGCGGGGTGTGAAGTTTGAGTATGACAACTCGCCTCCATGTCAGCATGTGCAGTATCTGTTCTTATCAGCATGCCAACTGAGGTGACTATGCTGTGACTGCCACATGCGTGGCTCAAGCCTGGAGGGAAAATAGCTGATCTATCTGATTTCAGATCTTCCTCTTCTCTCTGCCTCTTCCCTGCTCTGCTTTTCATCTGTCCATATTGTCGGAAGTTTGACTTCTAAACTTCCTTCGATGATCTTTATATGTGCCGTAACATTTGGTAAGTTGAAACTGCTTGATTCAGCTTGCCATGACATGATGGACCCGATCCGCAAACAATTCAGCTAATAAATTTAGAAGGTTGCGACCATCCAGGATGGCAGGGCAAACATAGAAAATTGCCGGAAAATCGGATTGTTGGATGAACAGCGTTTTTTTCTCCCCAAAACGCACATTTTTCAAAACTGCGGATATCAAACCAAAATTTGTCAAAAGAACCCACACGCCCCTATAGCCAGTGAATATCCCAACATCCAAAATTATTGATCGCCAAAACACCAGGTCCATCAAACCATGACCACACCAATGACAATGTAGCGGCAATCGAAAACTGTAAAGGACACATGAATTCCATCCAAAAAATCGTTGTTTTTTTTGAAATATTGGCATATGTGTGGTTGGGTCCAACACTTGTGCTCCCACACCAGGTTTCCACACTTTGTTTTTAACGCCCTATCCTCCATTTTTGATGTTGGCATTTTTTGCTTTGGTGCAAAATACTATCAGCATGCAATCCCAAAATGTTTCAATAATTACATCCCAATCAACTATTGCAAAATGTTTGTTGCCAAATGTTGCCAATACCATGATGTGGTTTCCGCATGTTTTTTGGCAATGATACCGGATTCAAACACTAGTAAACCTAGTAAGTATTTTGTTAAAACGTTTGAAGGTATGAGTGAACACATGTTTTTATGTGTGTCCTCTTGATTGTTTTTAGACGAACCAGTTTTTTCTTGTTTTGGAACAAAATCCCCTGCGGAAAAATGAATTTTCAATTGGTGGTTTATGTGGCACTTAATTTCTGGATTGCCGTGTTCTTTGGCAACACATTGTCTTCAATCATACCAGCGTGTTGCTCTCACTTGGAACTGCTGCTTTGGTTGTTCAATACAAGTGAAAAAATCAGAACATGAACATGGGTTTCAGGAACTGTTGGGACTTACCAAAACCAGTTGTTGATTTGCATGAAAACTACATGAATGCGCATTTGTTTTCCATGTTTTGACATTTTGAGGCATGTTTTTTAGGCATACGGTGCTGCAGTTCACTACCTAGGATTTCCATGAAGTGACATCATGCAAATCCTCATGCAAAGTGGGAATTCGTTGTTTTGGCGCAATGAATGCATATTTGCAATATTGATTGCCGATTGTGATGAGTTGGAAGGTTGGTTGGGGTGAAGAACTTCTTCATGGTGATGTGGCAATTGCTTCAGTTTGTCATCGGCGCTTGGATCCACATAGCCTCGTCCAACTGCAGGAATTCGATTGGATCGATTTGGGATCATATGGGATCATTCTTGATTATATTGTTCAATTTTGCCATTGTTTGTTGGTTATGAAATGTTATGAACACTTTGACACAGTCTATTTTAATCAAAAACTTTGTTTTCATCATGATTGACATGTCTCCTTGGCAGGAGGTTTTGACAACTCGTTGGCAAGACAAATATCCACGTGGTGGACTCCGTGATGGTGACCGAGGTTTTCATGGATTCCAAGGGCGCACGACCAACGGGCAACCCAATGGTTTATCCACCCTGTTCCCCTCGGCAATCAATGCAACAGGGCATTCGCAGCAGCCTCCAGTGGCAAAACGGCCTTTGTCGCCTCAACACGAACAACTTCCGCTCACCCTTCCACAAATGCCAGAAGGCCGAAAAAATCGACAGATGCCAAAATCAATGGGACGGCCCACAGGCGAAACCAGTTTTTCTGCAGTTGATCCTCTCGCAGTGTCTCGGTCCTCACTCAAATTTGGTGCGACCATGCGCAATTCCTTTGTGCATGAACCTGGACATGCAGGTCAATGGCCACAGTTAGGCCATGCAACAGCAGTGCGGCAATTTGTCAGATCAAGGCAGGGTTCTAGGTCAGATCGAGCCAGTCGAGCGAGTCGAGCCAATCGAGGCAGTCGAGCCAGAGCCAGTCATGCATTTGAACCAATCTGACTTCTTTCCCGTGTCCATTTCAATATGCAATCGATCGGAGAGCAATGCTCCTGATTTGATCATGATTCAGTTGCAAAAACTTGAGGTCTCACCAGTAGCGCAAGTAGGACATAGTAAGATCCAGTCTCACTTTTAGATGCGTATTTCATAAGCTGCCAAACTGGCACAAGTGCAGCTCCAAACAGGTGTCCAAGTGCAGTGATGTGCTGAGCGGAGATGAAGTCCTGATCATTCTGATCAGTTGATGAGTTGCAACTTGTTGCCTTTTTATGTTGCAATTTGATGCCTGGCAGCCATGACCACCATTTGCAGTGCCACAGCCCTGTGTTGTTACGACAAGATGCCTGCAAACTTCACTTGACAGACTGCGCAAAGCGTGAACAGTTGCATTGAATTGTTTGGGTCTTCAACTAAGTGTTGTGAACTGCTGTAAGTCCAGCGGAATGTTTCTGTTCGGGCAAAAATCGCAAAGATGTTCTTAGTTAGTCCTCTGTATCATGATTCTTTGTGGCCATGGATTATGACGAAGAGATTGAGGATTACGACACTTTGATGACTTTGATGTTGTTGCATGTTTTTTTCAGGCTAATTCTGACATTTATCTGGACAACAGGCAAACCGTACATTGAACACAACAACACAAAATTCAATTATTTTTGAGTTGCTTTGTGCGCAGGACAGGATTCGATCTTCCCCACCACGAAGTTCAGTGAGAGTTCTGCAGGCTGGCACGATATCAGTTGCAGAGGCATCCTTCGACTCGGCTCCCAAACAGCCTTGAAATTCTCAGCCCCTCACTTATTCAAACAATTCAAAGCATCAAAGTGATATCACTCACACATTGAAAGATGTGATTGTTTGTGAACTATCCTCGTAGGAACTGCCGCTCCATGCTGCTGCTCAACCGGCCCAACCTCGCAAGAAGGCTGCAAAGAAGGCGCCAACATGGGTGGAGATTGTGCTGTCAAGCATGTATGAGTCTCGCCTCTTAAGGTACGTGTGTCTCACACATATTGTTCGAACTTGGAATATATGGACCCAACATTACACTGGTACTTTTTTTGGGCACAACTCTTTCTGACGGTTGAGTTTCATGAAAGAAGGACATGTGAACAGCTTACATAGGCTAAATGCATCAAGATGCATGGTGCCTTCTTCATTGAAAGTTCTTTGCTCATCTTTGTTCTATTGAACGTTGTTTCTCTCTTTGCTGTTTGCAGGTGGCATCAGCATGGCTAGAGGATCTTGAGGTGGGTAGACTCCGGACGTCTTGTGCGTGGCATCCAAAAGTCGAAACAGCAGATCGACATTCCCTGCCAGGAGGATGATGTTCGGAGGATTGTTGAGGACAGAAACGGACCGAACACTTGCGCTGCGTTCCAAAATTCGTGTTCTACACTCGTACCACAGCACAGAGGATCTCCCTGCTGATGCAGCCTCCAGACGACGGCCCAAAAAAAAGAAGATCCGGGAGGTCGAGGTGCGAAAGAGAGAAGTTGATCAGATGATCATATGCAGACTTTGGGACACAAGAAATCAACAGATTTCTGCACTTTTTGAATGATTGTTTTGCTCAGGCATCAGATCTTGCAGCGTTCTTTGAGGCATGGCCATGTCAGAGCCATGAATTCTTAGATCTCTTTGGGTTTGGGCTCGTCGCACTCGTTGCACTTCTCTGAGGCATCCTTGCGTGCACACGAGGAAGGGCAGAGAAGCCTTGACGGTCTATCAAATCGTGTCTGCTTCTAAGTTTCAACTTCTTTTTCTACTCAGAATGTAGCTAGGTACTTAGGTACTCTGCCTGTTTTGCAGATTTGAAACTATTTCCTTAAGTACCAGGCTGAGCGACGGCACGAAAGGCTTTCCTTCCTTGAGGAGGAGGCAAAAACGGGCCATAAGTGCAGAAAACTGCAGAAAAAGAAGAGAAAAACAGAGAGAGAGAGAGAGAGAGGGAGAGAGAGAGAGAGAGAGAGCGCGAGAGAAAGAGAGAGAGAGAGAGAGAGAGAGGGAGAGAGAGAGAGAGAGAATATGAGAGAAAGAGTATACAAAACTTCAGGAGAGAAAGAGTGTATACTGAGTATACTGAGTATACCTCCGGCAGAAAAGTTTGTGCTTCCTTGAGGCAAGAGGTATACTTCTGCAAGTGCGTATGAAGTCAGCTTTGGGCTCATGGACTATCATGGACTATCATGGACTCCTTTGATGTCACTTCAGCTTACACTGGCAGAAATGATAGACGAGTTAGACGAGTATTCGTTGTCTTGCTGAAACAGAACAAAAAAGATAATCATGTCATATCATGTTTTCAGATGTTTTCAGCTGAGCAACAGTTCAGGTTCATCCTACTTCTCCCGTTGCTTTGCCGCATCGGAGACGCTCTTCCTCAGTCCAAGGTTGGTCTCATTGCAAAAGAGTTGATTAAACTGGTGTTCAGTTTGTAAATCCCCCTATCGGCCAAGTCGATATGGGATCCTGAAGTAGACTGTCCCTCCTCATACTCAAGCTTCAGACCTATGCGGAAAACATGCTGCCTACCACGGCCACATTTTTGCAGGTCCAAGAAACTTCTCACAGCCGCCTGTTCGAGCTGAGCTTGATTTCAAAGTAGGCCTTTGCCTTAGATATTTCGATATATTTCGTAGCATTCCTGAGAATCTTCAAGCGATGGTCCGTATTGCTGGTTGTCTGTTGTGATACCCGAACTCGACGTATTTCGACATGGTGTATTCTGCGTGACTTTCCAATTTCTGGTCATAGTGTGTTCCTCAAGCAGAATGCTAGCTGCAAATTTCAGGCACTCAGGCACGTCTTTAGGTTTTGGGCGAGCATGGTCGAAGTAGCACTGGACCTTACTCTGTCGGGAATCTTGCTCAAAATGGTGGGGCTATTTTCTTTAATTTGCAGGGCAATGGGGATTTCCAAGGGCTCAAGGTTTTATTGCAAGCCTTATCGCTTTGTACTTTGTCCATTCGCAGCTTGTCACAACTCGCAGAACGAAGTGCTTTGCGCTTTATATTGAGTTACGCTTCTATTTCGCTAAAAGCACATTGTAATTGTATGATTCTCATGATGACAGAAGGATGTTCTAAGCGTCGAAAAGGGCAAACGTGTTAATATTTGCAGTCTTGCAGAGGGACTGTTCCTGAAGGCCTCTATGCATAGAAGGGTCTGGCGGGTTGTAGGCTTCACTGAAGAAAAGGTGGGGTGAGGGGTGTGGAGGAAAATAAATCGACGAATTGTGAAGGGTTCTGTGTACCTGAATTGTAGATGGTTCTGTGCGTGGACGAGTCTTGTAGGAAGCTTCTATTGAAGGGTGCTGGTGAAGTGTTCTGCGCATGGAAGTGATTCGTGCATTCTTAAAGAGCACACAAAAAAAACCAATGCACCCATAAAGTCTGAACATCAAGATCACAGGGCATCGAAGAAGCTAACGGAGTCAGGGTTCCATTTGCTACTACCACTGTTTGACTGCGCGTAGAGAACTTCGCGTAACGCATTCCTATGAACATCCCAACATCGGGCAGAGAGAACTAAATCGAGTAAATGTATTTTGGACGATGGGATTTCCACAGTTTTGCTCGTGTGCACTTTGAGGTTTTTGCTGCGAACACATATCAGTTGGAAATTATTATTTGCAATTGTTGGATCAGTTCTGGGGCATTGTGGTGCATAGATGCGATGTATGTCACCTGCACATTTTCAATTTCTGCTGAGCGGGTTGAGTGTGTGGGGTTGCTTACTTTTGGTGACACATTTTGTTTATGGGTGTAGGCATGCGTGAAAACAGGCCGTCGCAACTTCATGCTCTTTTAGCTTTCAAAGACATGGGACTTTACAATTTGTTGCTTTGATGATTTTATGTCCTCTCTTGTCAAATGAAACGAGATTTTATCTTCAAGCATGTGGCCAACATCATCGGATGCAACCAGGGCCCATTGGTTTACTACAATTTGTACCGGCATTGCTCATCGGAACACTACAGGAGGTGTTCTGCGCAACAACACGTTTCAAATCTATTGATATGATGTGTCGTTTCTTTGTTTCTTGTTCGATGATTCTAAAAGCGATGCTCAGAACTTTTGCAATGAAAACACCCTTGAAACTGCACCAAGAAACGGTCATGGAAACAGGCGCCAAGAATCTTTTTTGATGCTTGTGGTAAGAGTTCTCCCGGGTGAAAATTGTGGCAAGGGTTTTTGAGCTGTCCCCCGGCGTGTTTCCCAACCCGGTGTGCCAGTTTAAAGGGGTGGCTTGAAGTCTGCCGATGTGGATGGCCAAACCTTGCAAACACTGATGAAAAACTTACTGTCAACCTGGGGTCTGCTTGTGTTGAAGATGATGCACTATTGGAAGAGTTCATAGTTGTCCTGTGGCCCTTTTTATCCAGCCTTCCATAGTAGCCATTCCTAGCAGATTCCTAGCAGCCCTGTCGGTTCTATTCTGATTCCTACTGTCCCTAGGCTTGACAGGGGCCAGGGAAGATGGTGAGCTCCAGACTGAGTGACTCGAAGAAAAACTCCGCCTGTGCCTGGAGGCTGCATTTGTATTCCTACTGTATTCCACCTTATCCCACCATGTTTTGAGTTTGAGGTCAAGGTCTTTGTCGCCTCCTGCAACAAGCTTAGAACAAACTCATACTCCACCTGGTCAGAGTCACGAATCATGTCCTTATATTTCCTTGTGTGTCACTGATTGGAGCTTGACGGCCAAACCGCTTTTCTTGGAGCTCTAGGCGGGTTCTGCGCCACCTTCTCGGTCCCGCTCCCCTCCCTCACAGTCCGGTGCATTGCTGTTTTGGTCAACGTGCTTCCGTGTCAGGCGCCAAGATTTCCAGAGCATGACAAACCAAGATCCAACAATTTATATATAATAAATATAATAAAATATAATAAAATATAATAAACATCTGTGCAACTTGTTCCTAAAATGGTCCCTAAACAGGTCCCTTCCGAACAACGTACCCAGGAAGGGCTCCGGCGCGTGTGCAAGCGGCAATCATCTCCTGACGCGCCCTGGCCTGAGTGACCTGACCTAAGACTGCCTGAGACCGGAGGAGAAATGCCGAAATGCCAGTGTCACCGTGTCACCGTGTCACCGTGTCACCGTGTCACGGTGTGTCACTGATATTCAATGAGAAATAATTACTAGAAATTTGGTGAGATATACTGAGACATAGTGAGATGACATAGTGAGAACGTGGGTCCATGTTTGTCTTCGTTGAATCGAAGTCTCATTGCTCTTCAAAACGGCGAGATAAGGTCTGGCGGTCTGCCAAAGTTTGCCTTTGAAGAAACGTTTTCATCCCAACTGGCGCGGCTCTTGTTTGAACTTCATAGTTTGGAAGATCAAGCAGCCCATCAATCAGCAAGAATGGCAAACAGAGCGCATAATAAGCATTTACTCGTATAGTAAAATACCATGAAATACACATGTAACGACTCAAAATGATTCAAACCAGTCTTTTCAATCCTCGTGTTTGTATTTGAGTGCCTTTGCGCTTCGCACTGAGACAAGCCAAAAAGTGGAGCAAGGGCGTCAACGTGCCGTGTCCTTTGTGGCCTACTATCCAGAGGCGCACAACGGTTGTCCAACGGTTGTCATCGGTTCTCCTGTTCAATTTTTCCAACACGTCAGGAGGATTCGTTATCCTTGTTTCATCAAAATGAATGGCAGGTGTTTCGCGACTTGCGTTTGCATGCCTTCGGCGCCAGTGTCTCATTGGCTCATTGGATGTCCTTACGTCGTTTCGCTAGTGACATAAGTGACTGAACTCGTACTTGAGGTGTCCGAAGAGAGCTTCATGCATTCGATGTGTGATGGGCCACTGTCAGGAGGACAACAGGCAAGCTTCCCGCTCTGATCAGGCTTCATATTCACTTTGCAGACATTGGACCTATCTATATAAATGTCTCTGAGTGAGTGCATGAGTTTTTTAAGTTGTCAGAGGCACATTCTCCATAAGCCCATAAGCGCAGGAATCATATCTTTGCCATTCTTTGCTTCTGTTTTCTTTGACGAATCTTGTGGATTTTGTTGGTGCTCAGACGTCCTAGCTCAAGTCACGAGCCTTCGCAGGGTGAGGGCAAAAGCGGCATGTTGTTTTTCTCGAGTCTGAGCCTTGAACAGTATGCCGCTCCTTGAACACTATGCCGACTATGCCGCTGTTACTTGAGTTGGACCATACTTCGGACTCTGCTGGATAATCTTGATGTGGGTGAAAGGTATAAGAAACAGTTGTCGTTGGACTTGTGTCTATTCACGTGTGTTTTCCAGCAAAGCAGATAAGGCTGGGACAAGAAGTACTTGGCCAAGACAGTCATGCAAAAAGAGGCTTGGTATGGCTTGGTACACACGTCCTCTTTCGTATTGTTGCTAGACAAAGCTCTCCGAACAAGAGGAGCCGCTTTTAAACATTTTTTTCTTGTCCGGCATATTCTGGCATTGGGGGGTGAGGGGAGGACTGAGCTGAGTATATTGTGCTTAAGTTTAAGTGTATTGCTGATGTTTATTTTTCTTTCGTGGTTGGCTTGGACTGCCATTGTTTTTCCAACCAGATTGCATTCTTTGTGGAGCACTTGGTGAACTACCACAGTCACATGCGAGGCAGCGAGCAGTTTCAGTGGTTCCGAAACTGTTAAGCTTCAGTGCAAGTGTTTTGCTTGAGAGTTGTTTGGTTTGCAATTGCATCACTTGCAGCTTCTTTTGATCACAACAGATCAGAGACAAATAATGACATGATTTAATCTCCTTGAAGATAAAATCCAAAACTATGAACTATGGTATCAAACTTTGATTTGTTTTATAACAGGTGGAGAGCATGGAAGGAAAACAGAGTCAAGAGCCTGAAAACAGAAGAGCAATGTAAAGTTCTGTGCTCGTCAACTAGCCTTTAACAGGCTTCTTAGGAAACTTGGCGTTGAGCATGCTTGAGCTACAGCCTTACAAGAGAGGTTTTACCCAGAGAACTGTGGCAAAACAACTGCCATGTCGGAGTTCTTGGAAGCTGAACGAGCGAGAGCATCCTTTGTGGAAGGCTCAGTTTGGCTTCACAACGAGTACAACAGCACTGTATTCCCACAATCCCCATGCTCACCGTGGTGCATAGCACATGGTGGATATTTTGGTGATCGTGTCACAAGTTGAACCTTGACTTCGAGAAACAATGAGAAACGCTGAGACTTAGGATACTCGAGAACTGACATATTTCCTTGATGGTGGCCAGAAACGCACCTTGCAGCGAGAGAAGATTGAAGCCTTGGTCGAATCAGCGGCCTGATGCAAGCGAGAATCATCCTTTTTTTTGATCATTATTGAATGATCACATATAATATATATATAATTATATATATAAAATAATATATCATATATCATTTTGATTCATTTTGATTTTGCATTTCTGATCAGTGACAGGGTTGTTGATTGTGTCAGATCACAACCGTCGGAATTACGCTTCTCCCAAGGATCCAGTCTTCACAAACTCCGACTTGTGCCTTGTCTGCGGTATTTGTAATTTCGGACGGCGCTCATGCGCTATAGTACTCGCAGCTGGACAAACTTAGTGTAAAAGTCATCATCAGCATTTTGCCTGGTTGTGCTGACTTCATGATTTTCCCAGTCATATAACAAAGGTACACTCTCACTCGGCCTGAACGACACCGGAGAGCAATGCAAAAGCAGCGTTTCATGGCTGAAATCGACTGAATCAAAATTACTCCAAAAGCGAAAACCGGGCGAACTCTTCATGCCCGGGCCACATCCTACGGGGGACATTCTTGTGCAATGGCTTTTGGAGATGTTATGCCAGGAAATTGCTCAACGTTTCAAGCGCTAAGTGTGGAGTGGGCATAACATGAACTGCCGGAATGTCCCACTTTAACAGTAGCGATGCCCCCCTAGTTAGTTTCAGGGGTTTAAACAAACGTTTTCCGGAAATAAGGTTTGTTTTAGGGCATGAAACAAAGGTTTTCACCCCCGGAAAAGCTTTGTTTTAACCCTTGATACTAAGGTTTTCATGAGCTGGCTCTTGTGGGAAAAGCTGCTGCATGAAGGAAACAAACGTTTCCAGAGGAAAACAAAGGTTTTCAATACAAAACTAAAGTTTCGGGACCCAAAACAAACCTTTTCAGCAAAAGTTTGTTAAAAACTCAAAACTCAAAACAAACTTGGCCGCAAAGGGTTTGGAAACTCTGGAAACAAACCTTTTTCCACGTAGTTTTGTTTGTTTGTTTCCCTGCAAACTTTTGTTTTAAACTTGTGGGTCCGGAGTTTGTTTTCCGAGTGGAAACAAACCTTTTCAGGAAACGTTTGTATTCCTTCCAAAAACAAACCTTTTTGAAAAACAGTTTTTTGTTTGTTTTTCGCCATACGGACAACCCCGGCGGAAAACTTTTGTTTTCCTCGCGGAAACTAACCTTTCGAAACTTTTGTTTCCGTGTGAAGAAACGTTTGTTTTCCATAGTTCTTGTCGTGCTGGGTCACTCTCTCGGAACCGGCCTCGCCACACACAACTCCAAGCGGCTTCGCCACGCCCACCGGCATCGCCGCATCCGGCAGCGCCACATCCGGCATCGCCACATCCGGCCTCGCCACAGTCCACCGGCACCGCCACGCGCGAACCGGCCTCGCCACACATATTTTCCGTCGGCTTCCCCCCTCACCAGCCTCGCCACATACATCGTTGTTTGTTGTTCGTTGTTGGTTTTGCTTTGCCTGCTGCTGCTGCTGCCGCTGCCGCTGCACACTTTTTCC